TTTCCCACAGGAAAGAACTAGAATAAAATATCAATGTTAGCTATTATCTAGCTTATTACAATAATTCTGTAGACGACTCATGATTTTGATGGGAAGAGACTTAAATAACAAGGTTAAGTTTGATCTTTGAAAACACAACTGTTCTATCTTGTTTTGCTCTTGATACACATACACAATCTATGCCTGCCACCCCTCACAAAAAAAAAAAAAAGTGCTCTGATAGATAAAGTACTCAAATTAGCATACTCAGCATACTAAAAACTTCTGGTCTATTCTTTTTCCAGTTCTGGGACTTGAACTCAGGGCCTGGGTGTTGTCCTTGAATTCTTTTGCTGAAGGCTAGTGCTCTACCACTTGAGCCACAACGCCACTTAAAGCTGTTTTAGTAGTTTATTAGAGATGCAGACTTTACTGCCCAGGTTGGCTTTGAATCACAATCCTCAGATTAATCTCCTAAATAGGTAGGTGCCAAGCTTTCAGCTAGTTTTTGTTTTGATTCTGTTGGTTGTGGGGCTTGAACTCAGGGCCTGGACACTGTCGCTGAGCTTTTTCACTCAAGGCTAGTGCTCTACCACTTTGAATCACACCTCCACTTCTAGTTTTCTGGTGGTTAATTGGAGATAAGAATCACATGGACTTTCCTGCCAGGCTGGCTTTGAACTGTGATCCTCAGATCTCAGCCTCCTCAGTAGCTAGAATTACAGGTGTGAGACACTGGCACCTGACTCTGATCTACTTTTTTTTTTTTTGGTCGGTCATGGAACTTGAACTCAGGGCCTGGGCACTGTACCTGACGTCTTTTGCTCAAGTCTACCATTTTGAGCCACAGCTCCACTTCTGGTTTTTGAGTGGTTAATTGGAGATAAGCATCTCACTAGGACTTTTCTGCTTGGGCTGGCTTCAAACCATGATCCTCAGATCTCAGCCTCCTGAGTATCTAGGATTATAGGCGTGAGCCACTGGTGCCCAGCCTGATCTAGATTTTTAATTAAAACTTTTACAACTAGAAAAAATTGTTAACTACATAACAATCTAATACTTCTCTTAATGTGAACTATTTGCTTGAAAATTTAGTATTCTACTTATACATACAAATTTTATGTATTAAAACTGAATTAAGCCAAACACAGTGGTGCACACTTAAAATCACAACACTTATGATGCTGAGGCAGGAGGATAGGGTTTTTTTGTTTGTTTTTTGGGGGGAGATCCGGTCGTAGGGCCTGAACTCTGGGCCTGGGCGCTGTCCCTCAGCTCTTCAGCTCAAAGCTAGCACTCTACCACATGAGCCACACGCCACTTCCGGCTTTTTTCTTTTTGCTTATGCGGTGCTGATGAATCGAACCTAGGGCCTCAGGCATGCAAGGCAAGCGCTCTACCACTGAGCCACCTTCCCAGCCCCAAGAATAGAAGTTTGAGGCCAGTCTGGCTTACTTAGTAAGACCCTGTCTCAAAAATTAATTAGGAGTTAGTCATAGTAGTGTGCACCTGTAATCTCAACATGCATAAGAACATCACAATTCAAGGCCCACCCAGGCAAACAAGGTAAGACCTTATCAGGAAAAACAACTAGGCCAAAAAGGGGATAGAGGTGTGGCTCAAATGGTATAGTAGGTACAAAGCCAGTACAGGATTTCAATAACCTGGATCCAACCCCTAGACGTCAAAATAATCATTAATATGAAGTTAAAGGAGAAAATACTAAGCTGGATTTTTGGGGCTCAGAACTATAATACTCAGGAGGCTGAGGTCTGAAAATAAAGGTTTTAAGCCAGTCTGGGCAAACAGAAGTCTAATCTAAACCAAAGTTAACTAAGTACAAATGAGTTTGAAAACTGAGAATAATATAAGCTTAAAATTATGTTCCATATATATATTATATATGTGTGTGTGTAGATGTATATATATATATATATATATATATATATATATATAAGTAAACTCACTGGTAGAGGCTCAAGTTGTTCACTTGGCTCAACTTCATTTTCAGGTAGAACCTTAGAAAGAACATTAATATAAATACAATAATTAACAACAAAGGAAAATAAAAAATACCAGAACATCACTACTAGTAAGAAATGAAAACTAGGAAGTGGCACTGTGGCTCAAAGTGGTAGAGTGCTAGCCTTGAGCATAAGGAGCTCAGGGAAAGCACCCAGGCCCTCCATTCAAGCCCCACACCAGCAGTAACAACAAAAAAGAAATAAAAACAAAAATTTTACCAAATGCTGGTAGCTTAACACCTGTAATTCTAGCTACTCAGGGGGCTGAGATCAGAAAGATCATAGTTCAATGACAGAAAAGTCCCCAAGATGTGCTGGGAAGGTGGCTCAGTGGAAAAGTGCTTGCCTTGCATGCATGAGACCCTGGGTTCGATTCCTCAGCACTACATAAGCAAAAGGAAAAATGCTGAAAGTGGTGTTGTGGCTCAAGTGGTGGAGCACTGGACTTGAGCTGGAAGAACTGAGGGACAGCGCCCAGGCCCAGAGTTCAGGCCCCACAACCAGACCCCGCCCCCCCAAAAAAAGAAAAAGAAAAGTCCCCAAGACTCAAGTTTCCAAAATAGCCATGAAAAAGTAGGCCTGTAGACATGGTTCAAGAAGTAGAGCACCAGCCAAGCAAGCAAGCTGTTAAACATGAAGCCCTAAGTATAAACCCCAGTAATGCCATAAAAATAAATAAAATTTTAGTAAGACATTATTTTTACTGAGCAAAATGTTAAAAAGAAAAAAGAGAGAGAGAGAAAATCCTTCCAGTAAAATGATAAATGTATTTTTTTCTTTTTTTTTTTTGTCGGTCATGGGACTTGAACTCCAGGCTAGGGTGCTGACCCTGTACTCTTCAGCTCAAGGCAAGTGCCCTACCACTTGAGCCACAGTGCCACTTCCGGTTTTTGAGTAGTTTATTGGAGACAAGAGTCTCACGGACTTTCCTGCCTGGGCTGGCTTTGAACCTGGATCCACAGATCTCAGCCTCCTGAGTAGCTAGGATTGCAGGCATGAGCCACCAACGCCCGGCAGATGTATTTTAAATTTGATGTTAAGAAACAAAGTTGTTCTTAGTCTTTCCTTTTTAACTGTATTTTTTTTTTGTTTTTTCTTTGTTGGTACTGGGGATCAAACCTAGGACACTGCACTTTCTAGACAAGTATATCCCAGCCCCGTTTCTATTTTTGGGGGGGTCGGTTGTGGGGCCTGAACTCTGGACCTGGGTGCTGTCCCTCAGCTCTTCAGCTCAAGGCTAGCATTCTAGCAGGAGCCACAGCGCTACTTCTGGCTTTTTCTGCTTATGTAGTGCTAAGGAATCGAACCCAGGGCCTCATGCATGCAAGGCAAGCTCTCTACCATGAAGACATCTTCCCAGTCCATTTCTAGTCTTTTGAGTAATCATTTCTACTTCTAGGAATAGAATCTAAGGGAAAAAACTTGAAGTACAATGATTACATGCCAAAATATTTACTGAAATATTATTTATAACCACAAAACACCAGAAATAATCCAGATGTCCAAAAATAGGGAACTATTGTTCAAAGCACAAGCCATCCACAGAATGGATGGAATCATTAGTAACCTTCAAAGGTTTAAGAAGAGTTCTTAATAATGTAAGTAAATGCAATATATTAAAGGGAAAGGTAACAAACTACTTATACACCACAATTTAACTATGTTGCTTTTACATAAGCACAAAAAATTGGGAAGTTAGCAATCTATATCTGGGAAGTAGTATAAATAAATTTTCTCCACACAATTTTCTTTTTCTTTTTGTTGGTCATGGGGCTTGAACTTGGGCCTGGGCACTGTCCCTCAGCTCTTCAGCTGAAGGCGAGTGCTCTACCACTTGAGCTACAGCGCCACTTCCGGTTTTCTAGTGGTTTATTGGAGATAGGAGTCTCACTGTCTTACCTGCCTGAGCTGGCTTTGAACCTCGATCCTCAGATCTCAGCCTCCTGAGTATCTAGGATTACAGGCATGAGCCACTGGGCACCCGGCTCTCCACTGTTTTCTAAATTTAAAAAAATAATATTCTCACTGAGCGTTGGCAACTCATGCCTGTAATCCTAGCTACTCAGGAGGCTGAGATGTGAAGATCACAGTTTGAAGCCAGCCCTGACAGTAAAGACCATGAGACTCTTTTATCTGCAATAAGCCAGCAAAAAGCCAGAAGTGAAGTTGTGGCTCAAGTGGTAATGTGCCAGTGTTGAGTGAAAAAGCTTAGTGCCAGACAGGAGAATCAGTTCACGGTCAGGGATACCTAGCAAAACTCAACAAAACCAAAAAGACATCAAGATTTTAAAGAAGGAAATAGTCTAGTAATATGGAAAATATTCAAAATAAAGGCAAAGATTTCACTTTTCTTCCAAACATGTTTTCTAAAGAAGTGCCATATAAGTTTTCTCTCCAGAAAAACTTAACAACATCTACATAAATACTACTCTGGGTGATTTTTTTTTCCCTAGAATTTCAATTCATCCTAATTAGTATTATTATTTCTAAAACTGCTATCTGGTTCCCAACTATGCAATAAAGTACATTAAGAAGTCCAAAACAGGGGTTCCTCAAGATGTTTAAACTTAAGGAAACAGTGTTAATACCTATGGGACAGGAGAGATAGTTCAATTTCAACATAAGATCTTTGACAAACAATAATTCTTTCGAGAAAATCAATATGGAATAGGATGGTATCGTTCCATCTGTTCCAAGGTCTAGAAGTTGTGTAGTTTCCAGCAGGGGCATCCTATTAATATTTCTAATAATATTCCATTAATAGCTGTGTTTATTTAAAAATGAAATGCTTACTAAGTTACTAGGAAATAAATATTTACTGTTTTAATAGTAGTAAGTACTTAATCAAATTGGAAGTGCTAGGAATTTATTTCTTGTGGCCAGGCAATGCCACAATTTTAAGAAACTATTACAAGGGGTGTCATGAATCAAAAGCTTGGACTTTCTGAAATATTGGAATTCTACTATAAATTACAGAACTATCATATCAAAATAAAGTATGTTTAGAGGAAAATATACAAATACCTGTTGAGAATCCTGCTTTAGTTGAGGAGATACTGGTATAGCTTGTGAAACTACTGTAGTAAATGCTTTCCTAGCTATAATGGAGAAAATGAAACAGTCTTATCCATCATATATATAGTAGTTTTCTAATGTTTTAAGCATTTCTAAAACTGAAACAAGGAATGTAAGATTTTGAGATGATGCAGTCTTGATAACTTTAATCTGAATTGAGGGAATATACAGATTATTTTACTATTCTGTATAGGCTGGGAAATGTTCTTTATTAAACAGTTTCAAAAGCCAGACACCAGTGGCTCACACCTGCAATTCTAGCTATTCAGGAGGCTGGCGATCTGAGGAGCAAGGTTCAAAGCCAGCCTGGACAGGAAAATCCATAAGACTTAAATCTCCAATTAACCACCAAAAAACTGGAAGTGGGGCTGTGGCTCAAGTAGTAGAGCATTTAGCTTGAGCTGAAGAGCTCAGGAACAATGCCCAGGCCAAGTTCAAGCCCCACAACCAACCAAAAAAAAAAAAAGTTCAAAAATATGGCTAGAGGTATGATTCATGTGGTAGAGTATATCAGCCTAGCAAGTTTGATTGAAGCTTCAATGAAGGCCTTCCTTGAAAACACTAATACTGGAAAAAGAAAATTAGACAATACAATATTAATGACTAAGTCAGCAACAAAAATGTTTCCTTGTATTATGATTTCTCAAATTAACTTTAAAAATAAAGTTGTTGTATTGAAATGCCTTTGTACAACTACTTAAAACTAAAAAAAATTAATATAGCCGGGCGCTGGTGGCTCACGCCTGTAATCCTAGCTACTCAGGAGGCTGAGATCTGAGGATCATGGTTCAAAGCCAGCCCGGGCAGGAGAGAC